CGTTCAGCTGTAGCACCCTTTCGGTGCCTAGCTGCCATGCCATCCGAAGGAAGCATGAGGGCTGGGATACTGCCAGGTTGCCCAAGCCTAGACAGGGAAGTCGAGAGACAGAGGCCGGGTTCGAACCACAGACCTTATGGTCAGTAAATTCGCGCTGTAACCATCTCGCCCATCTCGCATCAGGTCAGCATATAGATTGGGTAATACCAATAGTTTGATTTTTTTGTAAACGTTACCCCTGTAATCGATGGATGCGTAGCACTAGCCTCTAGTTGAACACGTCAGAGAGGTAGATGCCATGGTAATCACAGAATCGTTAGCATATATCTTCCAGCCATGTTTACCAACCACCAAAGGAGTTACATAGCTGCTCGAACTTCCTGTGTCTATGAGGGCCTGAAGCGATATCCCGTTCACCTTTATGCTGGTCGATTTACAAACTGCTTCTCTTGCGGGGCATTTTGACCGTGGATGTCTGGAACGACCGCAAAAGTAACATATCTGGGAATTGATTGACGAGAGATAGGGTGTAGAATCAGGAGAGATTGAGTGTGAAGGGGTAACTGTAGATGTTTGTAAAGGTGCTGCAGCCGCAGAAAATGATATCGCCTGGTTATTTGAGTATGATTGAGCTTGTTTGTGGGCCAATTCTAATGATCTAGCCAATTCATGTGCTTCATCGAGAGTGAGTTCGTTTTGAGACAGAAGTCTTTCTCTGATGGTAGTAGACTGAAGTCCGTTGATTAGAGCATCGCGTACACTTTCGTTTTGATGGTCAATAGCGGACACCGCCTTGAAATCACAATTTTTGGCCAAGGATTTAAGCCTCTGAACAAACTGATCAACACCTTGACTGGTGTCTTGTTTGCAAGTTTGTAGAAGATGGTGAGCATAAATTATATTCTTAGGACGAACGTACAACTTTTCAAGTGTACTGATAGCTGATTCGTAATCTGGACAGTCAGCGATATAAACATATACAGGTGCATCCACAAAATGGATCAGAGTTTCGAGTTTATTTAGATTGGGCGATTCGACAGTACCCAGAAACGTTTGGAAGGTTTGGAACCGATGATTCCAACGCGTAGTTGCGTCTGGAGAATTAGCATCTGCGTCGAAACACTTGGGTCGCTGCAACGGTTCCATTGTAGACAGGGGAAGTCGAGAGGCAGAGGTCGAACCACGGACCTTCCGGTCAGTAAATTCGCGCTCTGACTAACTGGGTCATCTTGGCAGACGAGAACCAAGTCACTCTGTATTCGTTGCTATTGTTTAGACAACATGTCAAAGTTCCTTAGTTTTTCTGTGCAGGTCAAACGCTCAGTACCTGTTAGCAATTTAATAGTTTGGCCGCGTTTACCGCACCTAAATAAGTACAACCCTTAGAGGTTAAAAGTCCTCGAAAATGATCGCTTCCAATCGCTGAAATGCTCGACCTAGGAGTACACTGTTGTGACCGCTCACGGCGGATATCTTTGTTTTTGAGAAACACTGTTATTTCTATCCAAGGAAGAGTTAAAATCTTCCAAAGGTGCTACTTCTCTAAATTTTCACCCTATCAGTAAATGTTAGGGATCTCGAAGTAAAGGTATGGTCGAAGTCGTTTATTGAGCTGTCGATGACCTCAGCTCGACTCCGGTAGTACTCCACACTGCTTGAAAGATTGTGGTAGGGCTTCCTGAATCTGTTCCGTCTGGACAAAGAAAGCTTGCTGTCCATTCTAGTAGCCATTCACCTAAGGAGTTTTAAGCAGAAAAATGCGTCTTCTATTTGGACGCTTGCGAGATTTTGTTGACTGTTGTACCGGTGTATACTACTGATGAAACGTGAGTAGGGTCCGGTGGCTTATAACCGCTTAGCTCATGTTCGTTAATGGATAACTCCGCAATGAATGACATTCATCGTTTCACTGGTGATGGCCGCTGTCTGCGGAGCTGAATGGGTTTTCCAAGGTGAGCCAGCACGTTCTGACAGTTGTCGGCGCCTTGGTTTTTGGCGTGGCCGGGTCCGCTTCGTTGTCTATCCTGAATATGGGTCTAAGGAACTGTACTTGACCTTGAAATTATGTTGGGGTGGAGTTTATCCACACCAGGGGGAAATGTTCAGCTGTAGCACCCCTTTGGGGCCTAACTGCCATGCCACCCGAAGGTTGCATTAGGGCTGGGATACTACCAGGTTGCCAATGCCTAGGCAGAGGTGGGGTTCGAACCACGAACCTTTCGGTCGGTAAATTCTTGCACTTCCCCCCCCCCCCTTGGATCTATGATATTATAGCTTTCGTTTCCTGGTTTCTTGTTTTTGTAGGTGTTGTAAGACATGGCGCTTTTCCCAAAATTTCTCTTCTCTCTTTGTGTTTGCAGGCCGTTATTACTGGTCGAATGCATGATCCGAACGGTACCGAGTTGGGAATTGACGAGGTGGGTCTGGAACCGCAGGCATATGTCTCGGAGGATGGTGACGATGATGATGTCCCCGGAGCCATTACCATTCCTGCATCGGACAACCGTATTAGCATAGCTCAGAGTCATCGACATGGTTTGGCGGCCAGCTATCACGCTCACTCATCGTTGTTCGACTCATCCCGCCATGGGTCTGTTCCCGGTGCAGTAGCCCGTAGCCTTGCTCCGACGGGGTTTGCAAAACCTAAGTGATCACTTGACTCCCCCATTTTTTTCAGCGCTCCACTTGAGCTTTCATATTCCCCAAGCCAAGCCCTCTCGCCAATACAATTGCCAATCGTTCCCAAGAGTTTATTCCGTTTTTTTGCTACCCACGTTCTAGTTATCTTCAAGATTCTCTTGTCATCTTTCTTTCCCGAAATTGTATATTGATCCTCTCGTCCCTACTAGCGTTCTCCCGGTTTTCTTTTTTTTTGATGCCTCAGTCAATCTTTGCCACTGTGCTGTGTTTCAACGAACTGAGTTTTTTGTCACAAGGTCATGGAAAAGTTTACAATGAGCAAATTAAAAATTTCTACGTTGTGGCGCTCTTGTTTGTTGTCATGGGTTTTTGCGACCAAAACAAAACCAGTCTTCCATCGTGTGTGGTAATACCTGACGTGATTGGGCGAGATCGGATGAGGGCTCTGGCCCCTGGATTGTGACACATCCGGGCAGATGCGTGGTTGGTAGCTGTTTTTTGCGTCCACACGGGAACAATCACCCAGATTCCGGCCCTTTCCTTGGCTACCCTACGCAGTTGTCAATCTGAACGGATCATCACTGCGATCATTGACACAAGTCTGGCGTGTGCTCGCTTCTGAGGCCCTGGTACAGTGGCACTCGAGATATATACTTGAAGCGCGATTGGCGAATGTGTGTACGGGCGATGTGAATCCGATGACACTGTTCAAATGTGTGCAGGACTATGACCGTGTCAACTTCAAGCTTCTTCCTGTGGGATCTCAATGTGGTACTCCGAGACGACGTTTGTGTTCCGCTTTACCGTGGTGTGACGGTTTGCGCACCTCAGCGATCCATTGAGCTATACTGGAGAGTGTCCCGGACACTCACAGAGTCTATCATACCAGGTTGGTCAATGGTTAGCGGTCTGACGAACACAATCTCCTGGCCCTCCAGGTTGGGGGTTGGATTATGTGGCGACTTGTTCCGTAGAAATGGTAATGTATTTGCATTTCTCGCCAAACGCCGCTGCCTTGCGGTCAGGCTTTTGAGCCAAAGGCTTTGGTTGAGGACCCTAGTCGTCCTTCTGTCTAGGTGTGGACGCCCTGGCAGTATCCCAGCCCTCGTACAAGCTACGGCAATGAAGCATCGGTGTTGAACACTCATGTCATGCTGTCGATGATGATGATGATGACTCTCATCTTCAGTTATCTGTCTGTCTGTCTGTTCGATGCATGGGATGACACGATCTTACAATGTTTTTCTAGAGTTTTGTCAATTCGAAGATGTCTCTCCGTTACACAAAGCTTCAAGAATTCCTTGATGGCATCAGGGGTTCCAGGCTTATGAGGCACACCAAACGAAGCTACAGTTCCATCCGTCTTTTAGTATCTTCCTAGTTTCACAACTGTTCTCGATATCTGCTGATATAGTTGTTCTATTGAGCTACATTGCTCAGTCTCACAAGTTCGTCTCTCCACCCTGAGAATCCGTTCACTAACTTAGATGGCGTTAACCTGGAACTCCAATTAATTCGTTTGAATAGCGTCGTAACTGGGAAATCGATCTGAATCTGAGGTGAGTCTCGTCTCAGTTCGCCGTACGTCCTCAACTGTTTTTAAACAAATATTTAACTTTTCTTGGCGAATCTTTGTGCATTACTGCACTTGGACCTCCGTCATTTGGGAACGTAAAATCATTCCCTGACTTGGTTTCATTTTCACAACTGTCAGTTGCCTCTCGAAACTGCTCGCGCTTCCAATCTCACTAAAGACCGCTTCCACGAATTCCCCGGTTCCTTACACTGCAAGTCTTCGTATCAATGTTAGAATCTGCGCGTGACCTCAGCTATACATTGCCAGGTTTCGGACTACTGATGTCCGAGTTCCCCTCACTTTTTCTACAGCGACTCCACAGACCTCATTAGTGCGACAATTTGAAACATTTATTTGACCTGGTAAAACAAGGAAGTCAATCACGTTTTTCTTTCTGATCCGGAGGTACGCCAGATGGTTTTATGAAGCGAGTTTTCTCTTCCGTTCCATGGGTTAGGTTGGCTGAGACGTGTGCTCTGCATGCCAGAGGACCGTCTACCATTAAGCTCAGCTGGGTTGACAGCTGTCGCCACCTTGGATGAGGACCTTCGGACCTCAAAAGAAGAGTCAATGAAATGCGGGCATCAAAACGACCGCCTCCAATAAGTAGCTGTCCGGTTTCCCCTAACTAACTGATTACTCTCTTGCCTCCAATGTTTGGTTGGCTATCCACCGCACTCCCATTTTCCGGTGATGGAAAATTCAACAGCTGGAACCAATGTACTCTTGGTGCATCGCTTGTAGCTGATAAACCGATTTGATTATGCGGGCCAACTTGTGCACTTTGTGAGCGCCTTTGAATGAGGCTTGCTGTAGCTGAGGCTGTAAAACAAGAATGATTTCAGGCCGAAAGCTGCACCTCTACTCTCTTAGAGGCTCTCGACTGTGAAACCGGATTGTAGCAACCCAGTCACCCACATGTTTGACTGTTCAGATCACATTCACTTGCTGGATCACGAGACTTGTCTTTTTTCATACTCACAAACCACGTCACATTAAGGTGACTCATCGGACATCGACTGTCCGTATCGTCTAGTGAGCGTAGCAACTACTCGTGTGCTGACGCGCCCACGTACACGCAAACGAACCTACGCATAAGGAAACCGAACACACTCAGCACACACAGACTCGCGCGCGCTCGCGCAGGGAGCAGGAAGTCAACCACTCTCCACAAGTCCACGGACAATTATAGAACACGTGTAGCAGCCATACTGCGGAGAAAAACGTTCCCGCCGTCCGGACCTTCACAGACTATAAGTTCCTCTTCTGACTTGTTCCCGTTTTGCATTGTATTTATCTTTATACGTATGGCAACCCACCACTGTCAACCATACCAAAAACTTCTATTAGTGCATATGCCTTCTGATTTGTATTATGGCCATCATCAACATGGTCTAATAGGATCATAAGTATGGATGTATGCGATAAATTGCACTTCAAGCAATCGTGTTCACGATTTGACACTGTAGTATTCATTGTACATAGTGTTGTCCCAACGCTGCTTGAAATTAGGGCCTAAGGGGTTCCGGGCCAAACTTGGCTTGGATAGCGTGAGAAAGATGGGGTGCCATGAAGACCTTTGAAGCCAGAACACACTCGCTGGTCGCATCTAACTGCCAAGTGACTTCAGGAGCGCCAATCAGAAGACATGATAGCGAACCCAAATGAAGCTGTACTCGACTGTAGAAATCCTGGGATAAGTTTGACCGTAGCAACCGAAACGTCAGATTACATCTTAGTCCGCTACGCTGTGTTTTGACTCTAAAAGCCTCCGTAGAACTGGAGTCTAGTTGCGCTAATGCACTTGGAAGCCTTGATCTAGGAATTTTGATTCCAACTGTGATGTCGAAAAGCATGTACTGGATGTTGTCCTCACACGATATTCACTGCTCTCACCGTCCTCTTTGCCGCACGTGACATTCAATTCGATCTCTATTGGTGTACCCGTCATGCCCGAATTAGGCGTCAACCATGGCGGTTCTGTTACCATCTGCTATCGATCTCTGATCCTACGTGTTTATCCTTTATGTAATTAGTTACGAACGGACTTCGAAATCGGTCCCCTTGTCACCTACTTACTACCCTTTAGACCAGACGGATTGAAATGCTTCAATATGCTGTTTAATATACCTTATTCTGATGGCCCAATGGCTAGAGCATTTACTGACCGGAAGGTCCCTGGTTCGAACCCAACCTCTTCCTCTCGACTTCTCCTGTCTAGGCTTGGGCAACCTGGCAGTATCCCAGCCCTCGTGCTTTCTTCGAGTGGCATGGCAGTTAGACACCGAACGATTTTTTTATTCTGAAGAGTTATGTAGAGTTTTGGTTACTTTCGTTACTTTTATGCTCAGACCAGTTCTTCGTGGCTTGATGACCACTTGTTTTGGTTTGATCGCGGACCATAAACGTCCGGAAGGTAGCAGACGGGGTGTATGCTACGGGTGAACAGGATCGATTAACACTCTTAGTCAATGCGATATCCTAATGAAAGTTGGCAGAGAACGATGAAGAATTGTCTTCGTATTTTGCACTACGTGGTTAGAGCGCACACCCCACAAGTCCTGGCACTAATGAACAGATAGTTTTGTGCATATATTCTTTGATCTTCTCCGAAAATCCTTTGTCCGGGCTTGAAGCGTCATATATGTGGTTACGAATCGATCGTCCTTTCCTCGGTATATTCAGAAGGACATAGACTATAGGGGGAAATGAAATGTTTGGACTGTTTTGTTGGACGCAAAACCATGGTGATTGTTCGAAAAGACAGGTACAGTATTCTTCGTGTTCAAAGCAGCTAGCAGGTTAAGGACGCGTCATCCAGCCTAATACTATCGACCCTTGTGCTACCAGTGGAAGAAGGCCTTCGCTTAGAGAAGCATCAACCGAACAGCTACAGACTATTAGGCAGGGAAGCAAAACTCTCATATGCATCTTGTTTACAACTGAATATCTATCTTCTCTTTGAACGCGTCTTTCTGAACTCTTCTGGATATTCACTGACTTTTATTCAAATGCAAGCAAATGCTACAAAGGGACTCCATAAATTCTGCAATAGATCTCACTTTTCAAGAGACGCACAGCGGATTTACGAGAAAACATACTACTAGCCTGCCTTATCAGTAGTGTCCAACGTTACACCAGCATCGAGCTTCAGGAGTCACAACGTCGTGGTCGAGTGCGTTCATAGTGTAATAACGGTATTTTTCTCAGCTTAGTTCTCGGTCTGAGCCTCCCAAGCTAGCGTTCACGTCAAAACAACCACTAAGGGTGCATGTGGTAGAGTAACGCCCAAAACGAAGTCAGGAACAGTTGTACAGCGCTTCACATATATAGCGTAGGCGGAAATAACTTTCTGGAAATTCTGACGCTTTCTGGATGCGCCATTGGAAACCGGCACTCGGCCAATACTGGGTCATGATTGGCTGTTGGGTCGACTTTCGACCAATCGGTGCTCGCCTTGATGCCGGACCGGTAAGCGTCCCGAATCCTTGGTCAATCTTGCGTGGGATGGACTTCTCGGCCGTGACAACACCTAAGTGCGAGCGGTAAAGAGGGATCCGTGTGAAGTTCCGCTTAACACATAGTGTTCCAGTTTGTCCGACAGCAGCCTCCTGAAACTATTTGTTTTGATAACTATCCGGTTAACTCCCCGGAAGGTTGAGACTTTTAAGCAATTCGGTGTTTTTGGTTGCAGCGATTGCGATAGGTTATATCGATTAGAAATTTTCATTGTCTTGTAAATGTG